AAAGGCTGCAGTACACACGCCTCCCTCTCTGAAGTCTGACGCTTCTTATCAGATACTTCGGGAATGGCATCGACGTTGGCAAGACTATGCAACAATGGTTGACTTGTCAAGTTTACCACAGCCTAAACAGATGATACAGCTTCGTATGTGCTTGTCCTTAGAGACACAACGTACTCTCGAGCACACACTTCAAGTACCTCCTACGACAACTCTGACTGTAGAGGCCGTGCTTGACAAGTTACAGGAACATGTTAAGGGACAGCGCAACGAAGCACTTAGAAGTAGAGAACTCCTCCAATGTAAGCAGCTTGATGGAGAATCTTTTGATGCATTTTTTGTAAGACTCAAGAGATGTTCAGAGGAAGTTGATGTTTGTCCTGGAAATTCTCAAGTCTGTGAAGAGACACAACTCAAGACAATTATTTTAACGGGTATTCGAGACGAAGAGCTAGTTCAGCGTCTCATTTCACTTGACCCCACTTCCTCCCTTCAAGATGTAGTTACAAAATGTCGAGCGTACGAGGCCGCCAGGTGTGCGACTTCAGCTTTACGTTCACAACCTGACCAGGTGAGGGCGGTGTCTTCCTACAGAAAGGGTAAGAAGCAGCAAGGTAACCCCACCCCTCACCCTCCAGCTACACCTTCAGCAGCAGCAGCTTTGTGTGACAGCTGCACGAGACAGCATGATGCCTCCCAGTGCCCAGCTGCTCAAAGCGTGTGCAGAAGTTGCGACCGCCAGGGTCACTGGGCTTACACAGTCAAGTGCCCTGCTAGCAAAGTTCAGTGCAGACTTTGTGGTCGTGTGGGCCATTATGACAAATGTTGTCGTAAGAAGACACAGAGAGGACACCACCAAGGATCCAAGAAGTCATCCTCAGGTAGTGCTGGCGCGCCCCCTCCTTCTGGCAAGCATCAAGACGCTGTGTCCAGTCGTTCCTGCCGTCGTGTGCATTGTTCCACAGACACGACGCCCCAGCACATCAGTGTCGTCATCTCTCACGGCAACTTGTCATCCAGTCTTCAGATGTTACCTGACACCGGTGCTGACTTCTCAGTAATTGGTCCACAACACTTAGCAAGTTTGGGAATACCCCGGAGCAACCTACAGCCCCCTCCTCAGACAACGAAACTGACAGCTGATGGTTCCAAGATGACTCCAGCTTTGGGATCTTTCTGGGCTACTTTTACCTTTGGTAAGCAGTCTTGCTCAGCCCAGATTGATGTTCGTGATGGGATCCCGACTCCGCTTTTATCATATGGCCATTGTCAAGAGTTGGCCATTATTTCCAAGGAATTCCCCAAACCTATTTTAAAGGTCACCCATGTCAACAGGTTGAAGGAACTCCCTATCTCTAATAACACGTCCCCTTCTGATGCAAGAGCTTACCTTCTCAAGGAGTTTGCTGACGTGTTGGTTACGAAGAAATCTTTAGGATCCACACCACTCAAGCCGATGGTGGGTCCACCTGTGAAGATTCATCTTAAGGATGGTGCCACACCTTTTGCCATCCACACCCCTCGTTTGATTCCTCATGCCTACAAGGAGCTAGTTAGACAAGAGCTTGACTCCATGGTTGCTCAGGGAATCATCAAGCCGGCCGGAGACGAACCTTTACCTTGGTGTCACCCTCTCGTCCCCGTCGCCAAACCTCGTGGTGGAGTACGGATCACCACCGATCTATCAAAACTTAACCAGCAAGTTTCCCGTCCAGCCCACCCTTCACCCACACCCTTCGCAGCTGTTCGAAATGTGGACCCGAAGGCGAAGTTTTTTACAACGATAGATGCCTTATGTGGTTATTGGCAGATCGAGTTGGCCAAAGAAGACCAGCATTTGACTACATTCATCACACCATATGGAAGATATCAGTATTGCAGAGGCCCCATGGGATTTGCCGCTACGGGCGATGCATTCTGTCAACGTGGTGCTGTGGCCCTTCAAGGAGTCACGAATTGTGTCAAGGTGGTTGATGATATTTTACTCCATGACGAAGACTACTGTGCCCACCTCTCCCGAATATATGAAGTTCTCACCAGATGTCGAAAGTACGGGATTACCCTCAACGCTGACAAGTTTGTAGTCGCCGCACCATCAGTGAACTTCTGTGGGTACACTCTCTCAGCATCAGGTATCGCAGCTGACCCGGAGAAATTAAGTGGAATCAGGGATTTTCCAACCCCTGCCAACCTGACAGACCTCCGTTCTTTTTTGGGTCTGGTCAATCAGCTGGCTGAATTTTCATCTGACATCTCCGCCGCAGCCCAGCCGTTACGCCCCCTGCTGAGCCCCAGGAGGACATTCCTGTGGACCCCAGATCATCAAGAGGGCTTCCAGCGAGTCAAGCAGACCCTCTTAAGTCCACCTGTCCTCGCCTGTTATGACCCAGCCCTACCCACCGTCCTCCAGACTCTACGGCTTTGGTTACGCCCTTCTGCAGTACCACAGCGGTGGACAACTCCGCTTAATTCAGTTTGGATCCCGGTTCCTGACGGACGCTGAGACCCGATATGCCACGATTGAGCTGGAGATGTTGGCTGTTGTCTGGGCGATGGCGAAGTGCCGCTTCTACCTGATAGGACTTCAGCACTTCACCCTCTTCATGGATCAGCGCCCTCTTATACCTATTATCAACCACTACTCTTTGGATGCAGTAGAGAATCCCCGCCTTCAACGTTTGAAAGAGAAGCTCTCGCCATATCTCTTCACGGCTGTGTGGCGTGCCGGTAAGCTGCTGTGCATCCCAGATGCCCTGTCCCGCGCCCCTGTCAGTCGCCCCACCCCAGAGGATGAGATGTTGTGTTCTACAGCTGCTGCATCCCTCAAGTCAGTAGTCTCATTGAAGGCCGTCTTCACATCAGAAGAGTCTACAGCACCGGATGCAGACAAGACCCTTGAAGATCTCCGCACCACAGCCCGGGCCGACCCTTCCTACATCCGGCTCGTCGACTGTGTGTCCCAGGGATTTCCATCTAACCGATACGACCTTCATGAATCGCTACTCCCGTACTGGAAGATACACGAGGACCTCTATTGTGATGGAGACCTCATCTTGTATGGTCCACGAGTAGTCATTCCTGCTGCCCTACGCCGCCGTACCTTGACCCGCCTTCACGACAGCCATCGAGGAGTGGAGGCCACCAAGCGACGGGCAAAGCAGACTGTATTTTGGCCCGGAATCGACGCGGACATTGCAAGCACCGTCCGTGCCTGTGAGCCTTGCCAGACTCTGCAACCCAGCCAGCAACAGGAACCTTTAATGTGCGACGATAACCCTTCAAGACCCTTCAAGTCTGTGTCGGCTGACTTCTTTGCAGTGGCAGGGAAGTCCTTCCTCGTCATTGCCGACCGATTGTCTGGATGGCCTGTTGTCATCCCCTGTGGTAGTGATACAACGGCTACTGTTACCATCCGGAATTTCAGACATTACTTCAGAGAAGTTGGTGTTCCCCTCCGCCTCAGGACTGATGGAGGACCCCAGTTCACCAGCCACGAGTTCCGGGACTTCATGGACCGTTGGGGAGTCCGTCATGTCGTGACCTCGCCCCACTACCCCCAGGCGAATGGACACGCTGAAGCCGCAGTCAAGACTGTTAAACACCTGATCCTTAAGGTGTCACCCTCAGGAAATATCGACTGCGAGGACTTCGATCGAGGTTTGTTAGAGTTACGCAACACCCCGAACTTCACCGGACGCTCCCCAGCCCAGGTTCTATATGGACATCATCTCAGGTCTTGTGTTCCTGCCCACCCGAAGTCTTTTTCTCAAGAATGGCAAGCCAAGACTGAAGAATGTGACCGCCGTGCAGCAGAACGAGCCGCAGATGTCGCTGCTCGGTATGACTGTCATGCCCGCCCCCTTCCCAGGTTGAGTATCGGCCAGCAGGTCAGGATTCAAGATCCGGTATCTCACCGCTGGGACAAGGTTGGGGTTGTCATGGGTATTGGCTGGTCCAGGGACTACCAAGTGCATCTTCCCAGTGGTAGAGTATGGTGGAGGAACCGTCATTTCCTCCGACCTGTGGAGCTGCCTAGTGTTGACCCTTCCCCAGTTGAGTCCCCTAATGTTGATGTCTTTACAGTAAATCCATCCCCACATTGTTTCTTCCCCGGTACTCCGCACGTCCGAGCGACTCAGAAACAAAAGGCCCGCTCAAGATGAAACTATGAGCGTATAGGGGGGAGGGAGGTGTATAATATGGACACGAAGTAGTACCTTAAGCTGTGTATTCTTATATTACTCTATTAATTATGTATAGTAAAGTATTACAGAACATGTATTAATCCTATGTAATACTTCCATTTATTATGCACCATGTTATGTATGTGAATTATCATATTTACATTTTATGTATTCAGCTTGTGAATGCTGGCATCTGTACATGCCAGCGCGGAGTGATACAGAGAGTGGAGATCACTAGTCCTTGTGGTGTGGAAGCGAGCTTCTTTGTCCATCTGTATTCATCTCCCGTACGAGAATAAGAACCTATTTTCAAGATAACAAGTGTTTGTGTATACCCTCAGTAGTATAGAACATTTTGGGGGTACCAAAGACAAACATAGAATACTGTATTGTGAGTTTTTTCTTTTGCAAACAATTTCCATTCCTATCTCACAAAATACCCAAGGCTTCTGTAATTGTGGTTCTTAGACCATACTGGTCATGAAGCATACTTGCTGACTAACCCTTATCAAATTTTTGGAGAATTTCCATTTTATTTTGTTTACTGTACTAAGTACTGGCACTTAATGTTTTCATTTTTCAATACAACACTCACATCTGCATCTGTTTTTAGAGATTTTTTTCTGACTGATCAGAGAATAGTGAGGGCCAAGAGCTGACTGACCTATGCTGACAAGATTTGGGGAGAATTTTAGATCTGAAAATACTCTGGAAAATTGGTTATATCCAAAACTGAGTTATGGATTCCAGAGACTCATTTTACACACACATATGATTTGCAGTAAAATGAGCTTATCATCATACAAAAATTTTACTAACCTGACATCTTTGGCTGTAAGTTTCACGAGCCTTCTGAGCCAGCCCCCCTGTGGTCTGGATACTTTTCACAATCTCTTCTGTCTGGCTCTCCTCATCTTTTACCTATGAAAAATAAAACACCTTATTGAAGCATATGACTAGTAAGAAATTTAGTTGAAAAATGCAAGGATTAATAATGAAATCCAATTTTCAAGTAGAGACTAGAACCAGTTGGTTCTCATTTCTGCCCTAGGCAATTTTGGGGGCTTAGCCATCTTAATCTCCCATTGCTCTGTAACAACCATTATCCTCAAAAGAGGGAGATCAGAAGCAAAGGTTTGATTAGAGCCAAACTTGCTAGTCAATACAAGACCTCGTGCAACTGCTATTGGCCTTATCTATGATTTTACAGCTAATTTGATATTCTCACTTAGATTCCAGCTGACTAATCATGAACCTAAGGGAAAAGTGAGGGTATCTCAGCCACATGGCTATGGGTTCTGGTCAAAATTACAATTTCTGGATCAATTTGCCATTTCTAGCTAAACACCCTCCACCAAGCAGCTCATATTACCAAAAGCCAGTTAGAATTGCAAAAAGTAGAAGTACTGTAAATGTTCCATTGACTATAGTGCATTTTTTCCCAGCGGAGAAGAGATGCTCCGTTCTCTCCTCAAGAGTTACAACTGAATGGCTGTCGCAAATCTGTCCAATTTTGTCCTGAAGTAATGAAGTACTGTATTTCTAAATGAGTTTACTCATAATCGTTGGGATGAAAATTTCTGACGAAAAAGATATTTAGCTAAATTATATAAATATACATACATTCATTATTTCAAACATGAGCATGTAGGAAGTTTATCAGAAATCTTATAGATAAATTAACTATGGTGGTAATTTCACGCTTCCAGAGGATGCATTTAATATATACTTATTTTTACCCACAATAAGGCATACTAAGACAAATTACATATCAGTAACACTACATTATGCAAAAACTAACATTTATAAAAATCAGAATCACATTGAAATATTACACGACCATCAGCAGAGGCAGGAAATATGACTGCAAACAACTTCATATTTCTTCCCGCCTCGGCTGATGGCTCCAACGGCAAAGCTCCCCAGTCTGTCACACTCATCCACCAATTTTCAGGGGCAGTGTAATATTTCAGTGTGATTCTGATCTTTTGAAATGTAAGTTTTGCATAATGTAATTTTACTGATACGTAGTTTGTCTTAGTATGCCTCATTGTGAGTAAAAATAAGTATACAGTGGGGTATGCTATAACAAATGGATCCTACTACGAATATTCCTATAACGAACGGTTTTACCTATAAAATTGAGAATGCTATAACGAACGAAACTCTTACAACGAACATTATTTAAAAAAATTTTTTTTTTTTTACTAATTTATTGTTTTTATATTACAAATATTAATGATATTCTTTATTTCAGGGGTTTACATGCATATTTATGCACTTTTTTACAATTTTTACAATTTTATATTATATTTTTCAGTGTTAAGTGGTTGTATTTGGGGGCCTGGAACGGATTAATCCTATAACGAACGAATGCTATAACGAACAAGGTTCTAGAACCAATTAGATTCGTTATAGCGTACCCCACTGTATATTAAATGCATCTTCCGAAAGCGTGAATTTGTTACCATAGTATAACAGTTAATTCATGTATAAGATTTGATAAACTTCCTACGTGCTCATGTTTGAAATAATGAATATACAGGTACTCCTCGACTTAGGACATACTCGACTTACGACAACCCGGACATACGACCGCCATGGTTGTATAAAATATTTTTCAAATTACGCATTTTCGAGTCCTGGCATTAGTGATTGCGCTGTGTACTAACAAAATTTTCGTTTGCAATTCCCTTTAAAATGGCTGGCAAGCGTAAAAGTGAGAGTTCTCGTGGTGCAGAGAAGAAAAAGAGACACCCATTTTAGAGTTTCTATGTATCTGTATTATTTTCACATTTTCGACTTACGACCAATTCGACTTACTACCTGGTCATCGAGAAGGAACCCTGTCGTAAGTCGAAGAGAGACTGTATGTATCTTTATGAAATTTAGCTAAATATCTTTCTCGTCAGAAACGGTCATCCCAATGATTATGAATAAACTCATTTAGAAATAGTGATATCTCCATTAGCAGGAACAATTGGTGCAGAGCACTTTCGAGAATGAGAGATTTCCGGGTAACGAGACGACTCTCTCAAAGCCGGAAAAAAATTCTCATCCCCGGAATTTTCTGGGTAACGGAAAAATTTTATCGGAAGTTCCAGAAATTGCCTATTACATCATCTCTCAAACCCAGAAAAAATTTCCCCCATCCCCGGAATTTTCAGGGTATCGGGAAAATTTTCTCAGAATTTTCTGGAAAGTGTGCCCCTCGAAAAATCTTTCACAAAGCCGTAATTTTCCGGAAAATTCATGCTTTGGTAATTATTTTCCTAGAAAATTTAAATTCTGGCTATCGGAGAGTTCCGGGTACATCATTACTTCAGCACGAAATCGTATGGTCACGTACACGTACAGTCACCCACAATAGTCCTGTCTCCTCTCCTCCTGAACCACGAACCCCGAGATTCAGAATCATGAACCCGAAGCAGTAGACAGTGATGCATTATTCTGTAAATAAATGCTTCAGATTCACGAGTCTGAATCTTGGGTGACTGTACTTCAATTGCAAGGGTCATTAAGCACTAATTTTTTAAATTTTGTTCTACATGAAACAATAACTTTCACCACCACCAGTCAAACAAAATATAAGTGTAATAAGGAATTTAGGGGAAACAGCTTCCGTCATGGATGTTTTTATGACTGGAAAGGCTGTTTGTCTGGCCAAGATCAAAAGAAAACAGGATCAAGGAGTGTGAATACTTCTATGGCAGTTAAGACCCCCAACTTTCTTCCTATTGTGTGAACTGATACACCAAATGTTTCCTATTGAGAAATCTGGTATGATTGGGAAGGTTTAGCCAACTTTCAAATTTATTACATTTTTAGATTTCATTTTAATATTTCTGGTTCAGAAAAAATTGATTTTCAACCAGTCACTCAAGACCAGTACTGTACAGGGTACAGTACAGAAAAAAGGATCATACATTCTTTTATGTTCAACTCTCGACTATCACATTCCCAAAAGCCTCTAGTGCCTGAAAATGTGGAAAATTATGTAACTATAGAACACTTACCCCTTTATGCTTTTTGTGTAGATCATCATTATACTTGGCTACCTCCTTAACTAAGTCCTGTACACGTTGGACGGTGTGCGAATGTATACTAGACAATTTTTCTGACGACTGGCGCAGCACAACAAAAATCGGTGCACATGTTCCCTTTTCAGTGTTAGTACTGGCTTTATTTGCAAGCTTCACTAAAGACTTTGAGTAAGTTTCATCAATGGACCACCTGAAAAACAAAACAAATAACTAAAGCTGTATTATATTTAAAAAAAATTCAAAGACTGTTCTGGAAATTCAACCAAACAAATAACCAAGTAACTTTACCATGAATATCCATTGTCCATGGGTTACTTTTGACTGAATATTATTGTTTATAATTATTCATTAATGATGGAAGTTGATTTTAGAAGACAATTTCTCATATGGTAGATTTTTATACCTGTACAATACTCTTGGTAAGTGCTCCTCTTTTTTTTTTTTTCATGGGAAGAATTAGTGTTTAGGCTATTAAGAACAAAGTTATATGAACAGATTCAACTATATGACTGAATGGGAACTTAACACAAAACAATGAAGGAGAAAATGGAAGATGAAAACAAGATCTACTTCTCACTAACAAATTAACTTGGGAACTTTGAGAAATAAAGGTTTCATTTGGAAAACCCATTTCATGACACAAACATTGAGTTTGTGCTCCAAAATTGTCAATTTTCCCCATTAAACCCTTAACTCCTTCACTACAAGCATGCCAATTATAATGTGTTATTTGGCTAAAGCCACAAAATTTTATTGAGCTCAGAGGCGACAGTGTACAAAACGTGACTGATGATATGTGAAAATGATTACAAAGCTTAGAATTACAAGTAAGGCTGAGGGATGGCTAGCAATGTTTGTTGCAGAGCATACAGCATCTTTATAGGCAGATCATCTAGTTGAAATTTGCAAAAGACTTCAGTGACAGTAAACCTGAGCAGAATACGAAACAACCGTACATAGAATAAAGTGCAAATAATTCATTGTAAATGTATTGGGACCTCATTTTACTGAGTTTGCAATAATGTTGGTGAAGTTTCGTACAACATTTTGATTGACGAGTCAATGGATGTATCAACTGTGAAATTGCTTGGTGTTACTAAGAGGTATATCAACAAGAAACCACAGAATATAGTTTTAAGATACAGTTATATCTCCCAATAATGGAAATGTGGTTACCACAATTTTCTGATAATCGGAATTGAGAATGAGTTCCTGTTTTTCTGGAAATCAATATCTTTCGTATTCTGGTACCAAGAAATACTTTCCTGTACCATCATTGTAACATGTGGTGTGTTATATGTGTATACATGCTGCCCGGGTAGTGTTTCCCTCACCATGAGCTCCACCCCAGGACCGTTCTTACTGGCCAACTGTGCCAACTGCCAAGGGGGAATGTGATTGACTACTCCAGGCTGCCTTTGCTTGCCTCCACTGGGGGTGTACAGTTGAAAGGAACCCCAATGATCACTTGACAAATATCCCAATGACCATAAATGAAACCTATTACAGTAAATTCCATTAGAATGATGCAAGAGTACTTTTTAGTTTTACAGTATCTGACTTTAAAAAGTCTTACCTTTCCTTGAAAAATTCAGCCAGCTCTTTACTAGCAGTCTGTCCCTGCTTCATATTCTGGTATAAAACATTCCATCCATTGTGTTCCTCCCCCTGAAAAATAAAATTCAGTATGTTAGTTCATAAACAGACAACACAATATATTAAAATTTCACAGCATTCAACAATGTCTAAGAGGATAACTTTAAAACGTGTGGACTATTGAAGGATAAAATATGGGAATAGCGCACAACTGCGCGCACGCCGCATACGCCGCATGCACGCGCCGCGCAGCGCACACACACACACACACACACACACACACACACACATATATATATATATATATACTGTATATATATATATATATATATATATATATATATATATATATATATATATATATATATATATATATATATATATATATATATATATATATATATATATATATATATATATATATATATATATATATATATATATATATATATATATATATATATATATATATATATATATATATATATATATATATATATATATATATATATATATATATATATATATATATATATATATATATATATATATATATATATATATATATCAGGTACTGCTATCTAATTGGACAAACTAAAATCGTTCCGGACCACGGGAGTTTCCGGACCACAGAATGCCGGACTGGAGAGGTACAACCTGTATATGTATGTATGTAATATTCAGAAATTTCAGTGTGATTTCAAAAACCGCGCCATGGGCAATACTGAGTTTTCAAGGTCGACTAAGGAAGAGAGCGCTCCTGCCCGTAGTGAGAGCTTTTGGAACTAGGCCTATACAATACTGAATGTAGTTTGCCGAATTAATAATGATGCGATTCATGAAGTTAAGGGACTATTATTAAATTTGAAATTATCATAGCTAGTTTATCAGTCTGAATAATGTTACGGGTTTCCCAAGAAAGTTATTAGTTAGGCGGAAAATATGTCATTTAGGCCTAAGCTAACGCCTTGGGGAGACGCGAGGCTGGCTAGTCCTCAATCACGCGAAAGCGATCGGACAGACAGGACATCCCTGCGCGTCCGTCCACAAAAACGGTCTCGTGGTCTAGTCATCTGTGTTGCGCCATTGCAGTATAACAAGGTTTCCGTCAGAACCCACTTGACTGCTAGAGAGTGACTGCCGTTTGAGACTGCCATTGATGGTTGGTGATTAGCGATTGTCGCCGTTGGAACGATCAGTGCAGGCTTGTCACTGGTTAGCGGGGTAGCAAAGGATCTCATGAGTGAACGAGTGCTCCCGACAACTAAAACGACACGGGACCAGCATCAGCATTGGGTGATCAGTTCTTACCACGTGGGTGCACAACACCACGTGTCCTCAGTCAGCTAGAAGTATTACCTACTGGCCATACTCACCAGTTGGCGTTCTCTCTCCCCGCCCATGGATGCCCTGAGAGTACACTGAGGCTGTCTGAGTAAATTAATGGTCACACACTGAGACCAGGAGTCTAGGGGATACCTAGAGAAACATTTTATCTCCCTTATTATGGGTGTATGTTGAGTTGGGTGAAGCAGGGTTCCCAGGTATTGGTGGACTCAGTAACATCTTAATAACAGTGATAATATTTTTGGGTGTAGTTAATACCATTTTTTCAGTTACTGATATTATCTTGATGTGTGTAGTTTAATATTTCTTAAATAATTTTGATAATATTGTTTTTTAATGTTTGTGTCACTAATTGAAACCAGAGTGATACTGTGATTTAGTTCCTTTAATGCATTTAATTTTTCTTTATAATTCCAATCTCAGGTATAACCTTTGTTCCCCAGAGTAGTGTTTAAGTTAGGTTAGGAAGTGTGTATCTGTTGGGATAATATAATTTTGTTGAGTGCCCTGAAGGCCTATTCAGGGTGGAGTTAATAAGTTCTTATTTTTTTATACCATTTTCTCAGTGCTGGATATAATTTTGTTGAGTGCCCTTAAGGCCTATTCATTGTAGAGTTATTAATTTCCTATTTTTTTAATACCATTTTCTCAGTGGTTGATATTATTTTGTTGAAAGCCATTAAGGCCTGTTTCATGTGTGCAAGCAACAATTCGTAATACGTACTTTAAAATTATTGTTGTCTAATGAGGCATTGTCTGAGTTTCTAATAATTTCAATATCATGTATAACTTTTATTCCCCAGAGTAGTGTTTTAAGTTCAGGTTAAGAGGTGCGCATATTGGTGTACCATTATTTGATTGTGTCTGTAGTGTTGGAGGGAATATAAGTGTCTAAATTTTACAGAGTGTCTCATTTATCCCAGTCACAGACGCTATCCTTCCAAGGGTCACGGAGAATTCATTTTGTTAGTAAATTTAAGTGTTCTTGTGCTGGTTCGGGATTTTTCTCAAAGGGGCGCTTCCACTGCAATTTCCATCTAATAATTAATAAACCCCAAATCAAGTGAAAAATTAATAGTCCAGTAAATTCCGACCGGTTATATATAGTGTATATGTGTGTGTGTATATATGTATATATATGCTGATAACCACAAGGAAAGAAGAAAACACGAAGTTCCCAAGCGCTTTCGTGTAATTCACATCTTCAGGGGTGAGTACAGACTAGAGAGAGAAATACAAATCAAGGTGTATATATACAGAGAAGGGTGAGACCAGGTCCACAATGGTCAGGTATTAGGTAATGACCCTACTAATCTTTAAATAGCACACAACGGTTGGTGGTCAGGTCAGATGGTCAGGTGACCCGGCCTTCTCACCTGGTCACAAATCTTCTTAATTACAAAATTGTCCAGCTTGTACATGCCGTTACTCAAATTCATGTTGAATGCTTCGGTATGTTTAATAAGACTAGATTCTATGATGTTCCTACTATCAATTGAATTACATGGTAATATTGAGGAGGCATTATCCCAGTCAATGCAATGCTTGTTATCCCTCAAATGAACAAACAGAGCATTGGATTCCTGGCCTGTCCTAACACTGTATTTGTGTTGTTTAATTCTAGTTGCAAGATCTTTACCTGTCTGGCCTAAGTAAAACATATTACATTCCTTGCAAGGAACTTTATAAATGCAACCAATTGTGTTGTTGGGGGAGTTCTTGATTAACATTTGTTTAACAGTGCATGAGTTTTAAAATGCCACATTGACGTTCCAGGTTTTTAGTTGTGAAGGAATGTGTGAGAAATTTTTGTGAAATGGTAATATTAAGATATTCTTATGGTCATGGGTGGGTTTGGGATCAGTTCTATAAAAAGTTTTCTCAGTAATGTTTAGGCATTTGTCTATGAAAGATCTAGGGTATTTAAGGTTTGAGCCAATATTATATATATATTTGTATTCCTCATCGATGAATTCCGGACTGCAAATTCTCAAGGCACGTAAAAACATTGTTGAAAATACTGACTGTTTGACTTTATTATGGTGGGCAGAATAATAATGGTGTCCATCTGCTGCAGCAGGGTGGAGGAGGCGCGGCAATTGCGCGCCACAGCAGACGCTGGCGCAGAGGTGTGTCTGGCCGGGCTGCAACACGTCCACACTCTTGGGCTGGGCTAGACCCACACCACCTGGATGGGACCCACATCGCCAGAGGGGGCGTGAACATGCTTGGGAGCAAGGAGTGCCAAGTCACTGTGGGACGCGCCACAACCAGGACGCGCCTGTGTTTTGTGGAAGGCATCCAGTCTCTGTACCTGTATTTGTCTGTGTACAGAGGGCTTGGCTTGGTGAAGCGTGACTTCCCCAGCGCACCTACAGAAGTCAGCGCCACGGGACTTATCGAAGAGAAGCCCAGCCACCCCTGCCCGTCCCACGACGCCCCCGTGCGAGTTGAAAGAAGAGAATGTGGAGAGGCTGGATTAGTGGTTTGTTGAGCACTTCGGGAATACAGCATTCGCGGTGAACCGTACCCCCCTGCATGAGAAGCAAGGACCTCCCCACCCCATTCACCTGGTTCCGGACGCTAAACCGTAAACGGTGCACACGCCCGCAACAATACTCCACCATTTCTGCGACGAGGTTCGCCAGCAACTCGAGGAAGACGTGAGGAGGGGCCTCATCGAGCCTGTGCTCGTTGGAGAAATGGTGCTCTCGCACGGTGGTCATGCCCAAAAAGGCCGGGCGGTCGCGCAGGACGTTAAACTTTCAGCGCCTCAATGAAGTGAGTCAGTGCGAGACTCAAGTTCCCGAAGCGCACATTCAAGACGGTGGCGGACGCATACTAGGGGCACAACCAGGTTCCACTTGATAACGAGAGCAGGAGACTCACAATGTTCATTATCCCCTGGGGCCGATTTTGCTAAAAGTGCACCCCCATGGGCCACTGTGCAGCGCAGGACGCTTTCACCAGACACTTCGACGACATGGTGGCAGGCGTACCAAGGAAAATGAAGTGCGTCGACAACACATTGATATACGACTGCAGCAACGCTGACACATTCTGGCACACGTACAATTTCCTCAGGACGTGCGAAGGGTGGGGTCACTCTCAGGCCCGACAAGTTCCGCTTCTGCAGGAGGAGCGTGACATTCATGGGCTACCTTCTCGACTGGGAGGATGACCAGCCAAGCCAGGACCTCATCAGCAGCATCAATGAATTAAGCATGCCACCCAAGCCCTCAATCACCAACATACGATCCTGGTTCGGCCTCGTGAACCAGGTGGCCCCATTCATCGCTGTCACGCTCCTGATAGAGCCCTTTCGCAACTTACTGAAGAAGCCCGCCAGCTAGACAGTATATTGGGAGAGCCAGTTTCAGGCGATTCTCAAAGAGACGGGAGAGGCGGTGGGCAAACTAGCTGTGGAGGGACTGAGGTATTACGACGTCGCACGGCCAACAACGGCGCTCACCGACTACAGCCGACAGGGAATAGGCTTTGTTATATTGCAACAGTACTGCCAGTGCGTGACACTAGAGACACCCCTATGTTGCAAGGGTGGTTGGAAGCTGACTCCGTGCGGAAGTCGCCACCTGACGCCAGCTGAGAAGAACTACTCCACTCTGGAGGGCGAGGCACTAGCCATTGCTTGGTGCCTAAAGAAGGCCCGCCTGTTCCTGCTTGGGTGCCCGGACCTCACCTTGGCCCCTACCCATCGCGCGCTG